ATAAGCTTTCGTGGACTACAGCCCACTTCTTCGGATGCATAGTGGGCTGTAGTCCACGAAAGCTTATGCTCTAATAAATTTGTTAGTCTCTAAGGTGCCACAAGTCCTCCTGTTCTTATATTTACTGTGAGATTCTTGGTATGTTAGAGAACATAATTTTGAGTGTCTGGAATGTCCCTTGTTTATTAAGCAGGATTTAAGATCTCCTTTACCCCTTTATAATTAATCATAAGAGATAGCCACAGTTATGATGAGATATGCATTAAGCCTATTTAAAAATGTGTCTGTGAGCTGAACATAATTGCAAATGCTGTATGTTTTGTTCAACTGTCCAGAGACCAAACGCTTTTTCATAAAAAGTAGATACATAATGTTAGCGGTATGAGTCTTTCAGGCAGTATATATATATTTATATGAAGTAGTAAAAGGGATTTGTTCATTACCATGATAAACCCTGCTTCCAAAAGAGACTGCCTTCATTTTCATATTCTATGGTAAAAATTATTTCAGGATATCAGTCATTAAATAAATCTTTATAGATACATCCCTCTTTCACAATGCCAAAAATATCCTTAATGTAACATGTGTTTAGTGTGAGGTAGGTATAATACCTTGTATTTCAGAGAAGCCACAAACATATCAATAGCAACGTGTGATATTAGACCAATATGTTAGTTTTATATACAGTGGATGATATTATTATTCATCTATAAATGTATTTCTGCTGTGCTATCTAGACACCAGTTATGGCAAACAATATTTCACCTAGTTTTGAGTAGTCCATCCAGAGCAGTATCAAGTGTTCTTCTATTTATCAAATAGTTATGAAATATTCTGCACTGTTGGTAAGAAGCTAGGTAAAGAATAAAAATATGGAAATGTGGAATATATAAAACAAGAACACTTTGGACAAAGTTTTAACAAACATTTCAGGGTTCTGATGACCTCTCAGACAACTCTAATTTTGCTGTCTGGTTACTATCGTGACCACAAACAATTATGTTTACAGTGTTTTGTTGTACAGATTAGTTAACTATATAATGCTTATTTCCTTCATTTAAATCTGAAGAGTCCCATATAATAATAAACATGTGCAATTGCCCTCAAACAAATATTAGTACAAAACAGCACACATGGAAATATATCTGAATGTTTTGCTATCTAGGAGTGGGACTTTAAAAATGAAGTCATCTACCCATTATTCAAAATCAATACCATTTCTATAAATATTTCCTTTGGACTTTCCAGTGCATTTTGTCTCATTTGTGTGTTCTAATTGCAAGATCCTTGGGATAGGGACTTTCTTCTTTTGTGTGTCTTATACAGTCCTAAAGGCACTGTCTACACATAACAAATAATGCTTAAATAATTTACTTTCCTTTAGAACTCTTTATAACCATTTTAAACTGCACTTAACCACAGATGGACAGATTTTAACTTTTTTTAAAATTAATCTTTAATTCTGTGATTTAATAAAAGGCTACACAGTGGTGTAATTAATAGATTACAACAAAAATCTGTGAATTCAGTTACGTTCCTGGGGCTGGATGATATACTTTTCCAGTGAAAAATATTCTGTTCGTGCTTTTATTTTTACATACATGTTTGCAATTATAAAGCCAGTCCAGGTAAACCCTATATGTTAAATTTAAATTTGTAACAATTTTTTCCTAGATTACACCACCACCATCACTGTCAGATCCACTTAAAGAACTTTTTAGACAACAGGAAGTTGTAAGGATGAAATTGCGTTTACAGCACAGTATTGAAAGGGTAAGAATACAGAAAAATGTTCATTTCCCTATTTTAAACTTATATATATAACTTTCTCTATATATACATTTAGTCTAGTCTATATATATATATATATATATATTATATATTTTTTACTTAAATTAACATTGCTTTTAGAAGTAAATTCCTTACACTGCTGTTTTACAATTCAGAGAAATGTTGCACACATTCATACTGCAGATGAAACTAGAAATAACACAGTATAATTTCAGTACTGTACATGAAGTAATATACACAACAGTCCTTTATATACTGACATGAGAACTTGCTGCAATTTGCTGCTTATTGCAATGAAAATTTGCTCAGTTGTCCAAATAGCAGTTTCCATGTAAATTGTGGGAAACCAAGA